TAAGTGAAATTTAGGTCAAAGTGGTGGGCATGGCGTTTGAATACTCCTGAAGTATGCGTACCGAGATGGCGGACACTTGAACGTAGCATGAACACCAGGTTAGGGTTAGGCCATAATTTTAGGTACAAATATTACGAAAGTCACTTGGCTAGTCCCCGAACTCGTAATAGAACTAAGATAAGGATATTCAGTATCAAATTAGGGCCTGACCCGAATCTGGTACACATACTACGTTCCGGTGTACGCCATCTTGGTTAACACACCACGGGAGTACCAAATATTTAATATGCAACTCAAATTCCATGCCCAACGCGATAAATGATCTTCGTAATTCATGACAGTCAGACAGTAATTTTCAATATGCAATGGATGTTCCCTGAGCATCGATTTCATTGTTTATATTCGTAACAATCACAAATCAGCAATAAGTTAACAATGACGTAATAAACGGAATCAATGCCGCCTCTCAGACACTTCTTTCGCTCAGACAGATAGATATTCAAACGCGGTTGTAAACATTGCCTCTTTTGGTAGTTTTGCGTATTATTTGTCAGTTTTAGTTATCCTTCCAAATGTAGATGTGTATCAAATAACTCAATTGTCATTATGCCCTCCGGGGAACTTGAGTTCAGTTACAATAATCAAAAATTGATACCGCAAACTTCACGATAGACCAGCCTAAAATTAGCTATCAGTAGCTGTAAGCGCCACGTGGTTTATTGTTTCGAATGAAAATGATAGTTTTGATCATGTGAACCAGTTTGTAAGCGCCAACTCCTCAAAACACTCTCAAAATCAGCGTTGAAAATTTTGCAACGGTAAAGTATATAGGGGAATATTTCAGGGGTCAAGGGTCGGGGAAACTTCCATTCAATGAAAAAGGCTTCTTCTGGATTATTTCTCTTACTGGACCATTTAATTAAATGGTCTCCTATGTAGATGACTAATATTGGGCTGCTAAATATACAGCCCGTCTCCTTTCAGTAGTTAATGTGTCTGCGGTACCCATCACAATAAAGTCACATTCAATTACAAATATTTGATTCGATTCAAATTACTCGATTCGATTCTGAAAACATCAAGTATTCGATAATTCCCAGTCCAACTGGTTAGGAATATGAATATATATGTGGTCATTCGTGCAATTTTCTTCTTTCTTCAAGGGTCGGTCCTACGACCCGCGGGCCAAATCCGGCTCGTTGGGTAATTCAATCTGACCCGCTTGATGCTGCCACAACCAAACTAAAACCGAATTTTATTGTTTTAATTAAAAAATAGCTCAAGGAATTTGTTAAGATAGCGATTAAATTTAGTTTTGACATGAGGCTTATTGTTTTCACTTTTTCTTTCGTAAAACCGTAAATATTGTTCATAAAATGTAACATTTTACGTCAAACTCACATGGCCCGCCAGTATAGATGGGCAACATTTTTGGCCCCTGGTCCGAAAACCTTGCTCACCCCTGGTATGGGATTTGGGATAGTAATGGGCGCGTGGTTCCAATCGCCATTCGAAAGACCTCTTTCACTAATATATAGAAATTCGCTATTTGCAACGAACGTGACTCGTATTTAATTGGTCTCATCGGAAGAAGAGTTGCGCATAATAAAGAAATACAAAGTTGCTCTTCCGAGTAAAAGTGAACCACTCCGGAAGTAGTTCGCGTGAAGTATTGATGTACGCTGATTTCAGTTATGGTAGACGTTATGATCGAACGAAATATTCAAAGTACACAAAAGTAATGTGAGACAGAGAGAGATAACGGAAAGAAATGCGTATTGTTCGAGCAGATTGCTGCAGTGTTTTGTCTGCGAGGAACTCTAAAACAACAGACTTGTCCTATTTACACAAGTGTGCATTGTAACGTTCCGCTTGTTTGCTGTGTTGCCCAGACACTTGTTACGTGCTGCCGTCAGCTTCTGTGCCAATCGCTCAGAATGGGCGTATATGTATTGTTTGCAGTAGCCTATAGATTACACGAAGGCAGTTTGGGGAGGAGGGGAAAGCTCAGAATGAGGCGGAGCAGACGATGAACTACCACAGTTGAGAGTACAGATCATTTGTACAAAGCCACCGCCAAAAAAAAAACGCTCGCCGCCGCTAAAAAACATATTAATTATCCAGTCAGGGTTGGGGTGAGGGTTAGGAATTATATGGCGCTGGAAATTCAAATTATTACTAACCCTAATCCTAACAACAACTCGATGATTACTGATGAGCATGCTATGAGCTACCACGGTTGAGAGTACAGATCTTCTGTACAAAGCCACCGCCAAAAAACGCACCGCCAACACTGACAACAAAAGATAGCAATTATCTTATTAAAGTCAGGATAAATATTTCAAATTTTTAAATCATTTCTACCCCAACTGGATAATTACTAATTTGGTATTTAAAAACGTGGCGCGTTGTTTTTCCCAAATCTTACACATTTGGACTAGTTAGGGGCCTTGTACAGAAGATTTTAAGTAATGTTTGCAGTAGACCAGGGTAGTCAAATCCCTGTGAGATCACTAATTTCTGACATATGGAAAATTCGCTTCGCATTGCTATATCGTCCATCTCAGGGAATATTGACAAACTTGTTAGCGAAAAACAGTGCCAAACTTCACACTAAAATATCTACGTGTAGGAAAAGCTATGTTGACTTTACTGTATCTTCGTTTTTTTTATTGTTCTTATTACTGAGAAAGTTTGCTACGAGGTTGTTTTTTTTTTCATTAACTTTTAGTCAGTGTAGCAAAACTAGAACATAATTACCATGTTAAGTGGCCCGCGCAATTATGTTAAGTGGCCCGCGCAATTATTAGTAAACTAAGTGTGGCCCGTCGTCCAATAAGATTGGCCGACCCTGCAGTAGACGAAGGCAAGTTGGGGAGGAGAGGAAAGCACAGAAAAAGACTGAACAGGCGATGAGCTACCACGGTTGAGAGTACTATCCTAATATTGCCCCACCGGAAATTTTTTGTTTTCTTCCATTATTTGATTCTGTCAAAGTTGTGTTTATTATACAAATACCGTAGACTTGAAAATTTTATGAAAAAAGTCTAAAATCTCACATTTTTCCATTGGAGACTTTGTACAAAATATCCATGTTTCTTACAACAGTGTCATACATTTTGAGGAAATGCACTAGGGGCTGCAAAAATATTTATTAAAGATTTTGTTCGACTCTGAAAGTTAGATGATATACAATATCTGGCACCATGGGCTTTAGAAAATCAGAGTTTACCTGGTCTCATTCTTGACAATTTCAAGCGAACTTTTACGACATTTGCTAATGAAAGATGTCATAACAATATTCGCAACGAGACGCTAAAACAGCGAGTCTGTGGGAAGCGCTTGGCATTGAATTGGCGGTCTGTAAATTTGCTCATAGATGAGTCTTCTTATCTCTCTATAATTAAAGGAGAAACCATTAGAAATTTGAAATATACGCGCTGCGCGTTTATTATGCACCACGTGACACGTAAAACAAATTACTGTAATCGTAATTTAATATTCAGCTAAAACGTAATAAAATGTGAAGGCTAAATGATTTCCTATTATAAAATCTTAATTAGGATAGGATAGGATTTACATATTTATCCCGGGGGAGAGGAAAGGCGATAAGACGGCTTAATCATATGGCAAACCACAACCTCTCGTCCGGTTACCAGTCCAGGTCAGGTATGGGATTAGTTAGCTAGTTATTTGTTTTCGGAAGCATGGACTTGATGGTGGAGGAAGCCGTAACCGACCAGCGGTTACGTGAACCACCCTACGGCAGCGAGGAGTCTAGCAATCCTCTCGCACCTGATCATCCCCGCATGGGATTCGTAATCAGAGATGCGGTGGCGAGCGTATTCCTAACGCTTAGCACGATGCGCCAACCGCCGAGCCTGGCTTTTGAGCCCTGGCTTAAAAGCGGAGGAAGCTACAGATGGAAATGAGCAAAATTCAAATATAGCTATCTGATGAACATCCTCGCTCCTCTTATGAAAGTAGTCGGTTTAAAAACACTAAAATCAAAATGGAATCCGGCGTATCTTGACGGAGTTCACCCCAACGCTGCTCATTAATTGCAGACTGACAATCGGAAGCGCTCTTTCTAAACGCAAAAATACTACTACTAAATTGACGCCGGCAGTCGAGTGAAAAGAGACATGCGTTATTAGAACGAGACAAACTTCGTTGCAAAATGGAAAACACACGTAGGACACGATTAGCCTGGCGAATCTAATCAGTAATCAGCAATTATCTTGCACGGACAGACATAATGATTACAATCCCCACTTGATGGAATCACTTAAGTAAAAAATATAACTCAGCTAGGCTCTTGAAAATACCAACAATAATAAAAAAAGTCGTTCACGAGTGACTAGTTAATACCCCACATAACGGACCATGGAATCAATATCTCACTAAAATATACCCGCCATTTCGTAACTGTCAGAAAATTCCCACAACAAATTTATAGAGTTACTTAAATACATGATTTATTTCAAACCACAGACTTTATACATTACAAACTGTTGGCCTCTCAGTTCGCTACCTGCATCGTTGTAATTTTTCATATCGGATAAATAAATTTCCGATCTCCTGAATCAAAATTATATTTATATTAGAACCTTGGGCGTCTGTCAGTCAGTAGGTTATTTTTTCACATGCCGAATGTACACATTGTACAAACACAGTTGAGAAAGATAAAAAAAAAACTTGCATTTCTGTGTGAAGGGAGACACGATAAACCTGTGAGGATCCCTGCTCGATAACCGAGACTGGCCCCTCGGGCTCTCCCGAAGTATGTGCACCGAGATGTCGCACAACTTGAACCCTAACCGGGTACACATACTATTTTCAGGTTGTGCGCCATCTTGGTGCACATACTTCTTGAGGTCCGCCCTTCGCGGCCCTCCCTTTCTCATTCAAACTACGTTTTATTTCGTTGCAATTTTCTTCATTGGATGTTATATTATAACCTGACTATGACTTCATTTTTTCATCTAAATACAGTTAACTGTAGCCTAATACCATGGCAGAACACAATGGCAAAGCTATTGTAGTGGGGGGAGGTCCGGTCGGAACGTTAACAGCTGTTTTCTTGGGACGTCGAGGATTCCATGTTGACCTTTACGAAGCAAGGTCAGACATACGGTCTGCAGAGAATGTTTCTGGTAAGTTAATTTCCCTGTCAATTTACAAAAAATAAAGTTTGGCCCCACCCCCGGCTACGATCATGCCTTTTAGGACTCAGAATCGGAGAGACACAATTCTTTTTAAAAGCCCACAATAACGAGCAAAACGAGCTATAAGTCAATTCGGTGTTCCCGTAGTGTGTTACCAGTGTAGGGTTAGGCAATAATATTATTTCGATTTTCCTTATTTTAGTTCTATTACGAGTTTGGGAACTGTCTGTGTTAGCCAAGTGAATATACCCCCTACCCATAGGTTTCAGTCCCTTTACACACAACTTAATGTAAAGTAGCCGAACAAAATTAGTTACCTCCATATTGGTACACGCACTTTTGAATCGCCGTCCATTTTGTGTCCAAAATCATTTCATTAAATGTATATGTTACGCATTTCGCAAGTTAATTGAGATTTCTTTTCAACAGGGCGAAGTATCAACTTGGCTTTATCAGTGCGAGGGTTGTCTGCGCTGAAACATGGCGGAATTGAGGAAAGAATACGAAGCATCGGGATACCAATGCATTCAAGGTAATTTATAAACAGATTGTAGTTTTTGTGTTACGATAATACTTATTCATTATAAACTACTTGAACTAGAGCTCCAGAAGTATATGAACCAAAATAGCTCACAACCTGAACATAGTATGTGTACCAGGTTAGGGATCAGGTTGTGCGCCATCTTGGTGCACACACTTCGGTAGCGCCCTCGAACTTGAAAAAAGCTGGTTCTCCAGAAGTATGTGTACCAATATGGAGGCAACTAATTTCGTTCGTTTATTTTGCATCAAGTTGTGTAAAGGGACTGAAATTATGGCCTAACCCTAACCTGGTACACATACTACCGGAGTACCCAAACACGGGGATGCGACTAACACTAGATAATGATCCATTAAAAATTGAACAACGAAGTATTTTTCACGCATAGTGGAGACGAAATAAAAAGTTACAAAATGGACGAAGGTGCGAAATTGACGAAAACGGTTGGGAACCACTGCTAACCAATTGAACTATCTGGCTTTTTCGGGAAATACTCAGGGTCAAATAAAAAATATACGCCATTCCATTTCAGATACATCCATACTGGCAAAGGATCCTACACGATTCCATACGGAAAGAAAGGACAATATTTACTTTCAACAGACAGATTGGAACTAAACAGACAGCTACTCAGCGTGGCGGAAAAAAGCGAGAACGTGAATTTATATTTCGAGCATAAATTGGTGAATTGTGACACCCGAATCCCGTCCGCCACTTTTCAAAAGGCGGGTAGCGAAATTACGAAAACTGGAGACGTTCTAATCGGATGTGATGGTGCTTATTCTGCAGTTAGACGACAAATGCTTAAAGGCAGAATGGACTTTAGTCAATTTTACATTGAACATGGATACAAGGAGTTGTGCATTCCCCCTACAGCTGACGGAGAATACGCCATGCCACCAAACCACTTACATATCTGGCCCAGGCACGAGTACATGTTAATTGCCCTCCCAAACTTGGATAAATCGTTCACTTGTACGTTATTCATGCCATTTTCAAAATACGAGCAAATCGTAACCGGAAATGACGTCATCGATTTCTTCAATGTAAATTTTAATGACGTTGTTCCATTGATTGGCGACTCTTTGTTACGTACGTCATTTTTTGAATTACCACCGTTGCCAGTGGTGACGGTAAAATGCTCCCCTTTCCACCACGGAAAAACAGCCCTACTGCTGGGAGACGCCGCACATGCAGTCGTACCTTTTTACGGTCAAGGATTGAACGCCGGACTCGAGGATGCATTAATATTTGATGGACTGGTTGACAAATTCGGCTGCGATTTTGAGCAAATTGTACCTAAGTTTTCTGAAGTTCGCGTCAAGGCTGCACACGCGATTGCAGATCTTTCTCTTTACAATTATATGGAAATGAGGTCCCATGTTGCCACACCCTGGTTCTTGCTACGGAAAAAGGTCGATGGATTTTTAAACATTCTTTTCCCGTCTAGTTTTATCCCGAGATATTCAATGGTAACTTTCACAAGGATTCCATACGACCAAGCTCTGAAGAGAGCAAAAGTTCAAGATAAAATTGTCGATAATGGAATAATAATTGCAGGTGGACTAATGCTGACAGCTATAGCATTTGCCGCTTATAAAACAGACTGGAAATCTTTCGATTTGAGTAATCTGACTTTGGATAGGGTGATCGAAAAAGCGAAACATTTGTGGTGAACGTAATAGATTGGGAGGAGTGCTCAGTAATAATAGTTGTAAAAATTGTTGCATTGAATTATTTTATTGACAAATCGTATTTCTTCGTTGAACTGCGCCTACAATTGTTTAGTTATATAGTTTTCAAATTTAACCCGGACAATTCTCATCGTACTCGTTCAATAGCTTCGCTCCTTAACATGGCTCTTCATCGTGGCCTGTAAGGGCCCTAATCACTTAAGACTTTGGTGCCATATATATATAAATAATAACAATAGGATTGTAATCCGTGTTATCTGAAATTTAATAAATATTCATATTCATTGTTTCATTATTCATTACTGATTGAAGGCCAAATTATGATTAATTTACATGATATTTTTGAATATAGTAGTCAATAGTACATTGGCGAGCCTCGTTCTACATCATAATGAAGATTTGCCCATAACGAAGTCACGGGCACTAAATTTCAGAAAAAGGTTTCTATGTGTAGAATTCCTCTGTATATAGGTGAAATGAAATTATGTGCAATAAAATTCGTGTTATATATGATATTTTCAATTCCAAGTGTTTGGAATGGGGTCTTTGTAAGTTTTCGATGACGTCAAGACTGTGCCGCAGAAATTTGAAAACTATTTCAAATATTCCTATATATAATACTAGGATTGTTCTTTAGTCAATTTCACTTTTTCAATAGGTTAGCTTCATGTAAAGTTCTCGCCTTAGTGCGTTCGCTAACACACTCTGAAAATCATCCGTTCCTGACCTTTTCGTACCTTTTAAATGATATTATGAAGTCACATTTTCATATAATGATATCACTCCTATTATAACATCATATTTTTGTAATTCTTTTTCGTTGCAATCACTCTCACAGACAGTGATGTATCTAGTCTAGGGTGTGGCATCAATGGCTCGTACCATTGGTGCCGTTTGGACAGGAGCGCAAAAACGGCGGAAAGTCTTAGTTGTAACATGATTCAATAAAATAATTTCAAATTGGAAATAATTGAATTCTGTATTTCATTTAAATATCAACGTACAAGTATCTTATTTCAACAAAAACTGGTGAAAAAGCTGAGCTGTAATAAAAATTGTCAACCAACGATCAAGGAAATGCATTTTGAAACTCTGCCATGGACGCCATTTCACGTAGATACGCCACTACTCACACACCTGAACTAGATATAATAAATCCTAATCATATACTTTTCATTTCATCCATCTTAAATAATTTTTTTCATACGTTCTTCCCCTTCTGCCCTGTTTCTTCGTTGCTGTGAGCCACTGAGAGTTTTTGCTTTCGACATCATTCTGACAGCCTTCGTAATTGTGCCGGTGCGATCAAACGACACGACGCCGAAAATCGACGACTCCGGCATTGTTACGTAACAAAACGATTTGAGCAGAACTAACATCAAATAAGATGTGCATTAATACTTTTGCAATGCAGCTTTCGGTTTTGCGGCCTAAATTTCTAAATTTTAACCGCTTGGGGGCCCTTTTTGCTGTGGGTCCCCCCGCGACCGCGGGGGTTGCGAGGGTGGATGCTACGCCACTATCTATGGACACGGACAATGATACGATTGAGATATACTTATTTATCAGAAGATGAACTATTTTTCGTGGTTGCCAATTTATTATACACTGATTGGTGCGGATTTGATTCCCGTTATATTGTAGCGAGCAGTTTGGGTAGGAGTCCCTAAACCCCGAGTCGCGAGTGGAGTCACGGGTCTTCCGATTCTCAAGTCGAGTCAATTATCGAGTTAAGTTTTTCGTCGCTCCCGAAGTATGTGAACCAAGATGGTGGACACCGGAACGTAGTATGTGTACCAGGTTAGGGTCAGGCCATAATTTTGTTCCAATTTTCCTTGTTTTAGTTCTATTACGAGCTCGGGGACTGGCCAAGTGACTCCCGTAGTAATTGTCCCGTAGCGTTCCGGTGTTCGCCATCTTAGTTCACATATTACGGGAGTATCAGTTTTTCACCTTCGGTCAGGGTTAGTTGATAAACAATTTTCTATTCAGGGTCTCTGATAATTGATAACTCGAGTATAAACAGTGGCGTATCTAGGTAAGATGGCTCACGTGGCAAAGTTAAATAATGCGCCCCCTTCATCGTTAACCGATGATTTTTAACGACTGTGAACTGAGATACTTTTACGTTATTATTTGGGTGAAAATACGAGTTTCATTTATTAACAATTTAAAATTATTTTATTAAAACCTTTCACAATTAAGACATTTCGCTCTTTTGCGCCCCTATTCTAACGGCACCTATGGCACAAGATATGGAGGCCATACTCTAGATACGCCACTGAGTATTAATAAATGGAACATCTGCAATGATACCTTGTAACGTACGGAGAGCGCTTCTCCGCGCGTTGACTTTTTTGTTTACGTCAGTACCATCAGCTAATCAGCAAAAAGTGACAAAACAATAAACGTTTAGTCGCCCCTCGCACAGAATTTCAAGCAAGGCTGTAAACATCAGCTCGTTTTCGTGTTTTTGCGATTTGTTAGTATGTTTGTAAGACGCATCAAAGTGGGTGCGCTAGAGATTTTGACCTGTGTTGTCTTGTCGGTTAAATATGCAAACCCCATGTTCATCACATTTTTCACCAAAGCCCGCACGAATAGGATAGGATAGGATTTACATATTTATCCCGGGGGAGAGGAAAGCCGATAAGACGGCTTATCCATATGGCGAACCACGGCCTCTCGTCCGGTTACCATTCCAAGTCGGGTATGGGATTAGATTTACTGTATTGTTTGATTTCGGAATCATGGACTTGGTGGTGGAGGAAGCCGTAACCGACCAGCGGTTACGTGAACCACCCAACGACGGCGAGGAGTCCAGCAATCCTCTCGCACATAACCATCCCTGCATGGGATTCGAACCTGCGAACCCACGCAGAGTAGTTAGAGGTGCGGTGGCGAGCGTATTCCTAACGCTTAGCCCGTTGAGCCACACCGCCGCGATTTATATATATATTTATATATATTATATAATTTATATTTATATATATTTAAATATTTCTCAATCAAGTTTTTTATTGAGTATTGCAGAAAAGTTTGTATGGCTACGAAGCAAATGATACAGATAACGTACTCAACTGAGTGCTCACCATTTGCACCAAGCATTATAGGCATAAGGGTACTCCTGTGCTCCAATGCTGAAAGGGAAAAGACCGGTTCTTCCAAAAATTGTAGTTCCATACATATCAGTATATACAAGTAGTTCCCAACCTTTTATAGGCTTTCCAGAGGCTTCAAGCAGTCATGGCCTCCCTGTTTGTCATTACAGTAGTATTTATAGTGTTATTTTTATTGGTAGATTCCGAATCTCATTGGGTTCAAATAATTCATGTAAAACAAAGTGAAAACACCCTGTGACATAACCTTGTCAAGCAATAAAACTGAGAAGAGCGGGGAGTTTTCTTGTGAAGGGAAAAGTAAAATCAGTTTTGCGTTTAGCATTGTAACTCTCTCCAGCTGCTCTGTGGCCCCCGGTCAGGAACCAATGATTAGGGCTGGGCATATCGATTCGAATAGTAAACTATTCGAATCGGTTCAGAGCTAAATTTCGAATCGCCGCCATCTTGTTTTTATCTTTCCGCTGATGGTCGAGATGAATTCCCCAATTTTTTTTTCATTGGAGTCATATCTTTTCAACGAAATTCTAACATATGACTATTTTCTGTAGTGAGTTATTGATAAAACGTGTTTGATATTCTGTGTGAGCGCTCAGTAATCTATCTGGGTGATTTATTCTATGTCTTCGGTAATTCATTTGTCAAGAGGACCAATTACTATAATAAAATCGCTTACAATTATATATTGTCAAGTATTCGAGATTCGATTCGAAAAATATTATTCGATTCGATTCTGAAATCACAAGGTATTCGAAAATGCCCATTGGCAATGATACAGACAATGTTGGCATTGAGAACCGTCGCATAAAAATATGAAAATCGGTTATCGGTTAATCGATTTAATTAAGTAAACGAAATATTTAAACCAAAATTGAAACAACTAGACTTGAGAATACCGAACGTAACTGAGGAGGAATTAAGCCTAGCACCGGTGGTATCGGTAGAAAACCAGATGCGTGTTCAATCTCCAAAAGTGATGGCGCCGGCGCAAATGAATTTTCTTTCAAAACTTACACGACAATTATCACAGTTAAGCTACTGATTTTTGAAGCAAATTGAAAAAATTGATATGACGAAGATGGTGGATGAGTTTGCTAACACGAAAGCGCAAATTTTAGGTTACCATAGCTTTTTTATAGCGACATGTTATGCTTTTTAACGAAATATTTTTGCGGGGGGGGGGGGGGGGGGGGCACGAGTGTCTTGCTACGCCACTGATCCTTTTTAGACGCATCCAAAGACGCTCCATGTATCTGATGGTCGTTCACGGCCTCCTATACCCTCCGAGTCGTGGCATTTGAAACTTGCTATTCACAAACTAAATAAGTTGGTTAATAAGCGAGAAATTATGATTTCTCATTTGATTACCAGTCGAGTAATCAACTTTCTCCTTTTTGGGATGAATGTCAAGAATCATCTTTGTAATGACAGTCATAATCAAGTTTATTTTTTCTTGATAACATGCGTTGAAGTTTGAAAAAAACAATTTTGAGCACACACTTTACTGGGGAAGGGAAGCCTAGAGGAACCAAAGCTACCGTGTATCCCCGAAAATAAGACTGTGTCATATTTCAATTTTCTCCCGGAAAATAACACTAAGGCTTATTTTCGGGTGATGTCTTATATTTTCAGTTATTAAAAACAAAATTACAAAGCAGAGAATTACGAGATTTTCAGATATACAAAATGTGAAAACCGATATCCATTTACTTATAAATAAGACGTTTTTACTCAAAATAACTGCAAGACATAGCTTAATTATCAACCATTTAAAACGTGTAGGAGAGATTTTTTGCTATCGACTAGGACTTCGCATTATTGACTAGATCTTATCCTAGGGGGAGGGCTTATATTAAAATCATGTTTAAAATTCAGGCTAGGTCTTATTTTTCGGGGAAACACAGTACAGTTATCTAGTAGCGACACCCAAGATTCGGCCACATGGTGTCTTATTGTAAACAGAGCTCGATTGCAAAATCTGATCTGCAAATGTGGTCAACAGCAAAGGTTTACAGTCACTTTGGTCAACAGGGCGTTGCCGTATCGTGGGGATAATTCAGTATTTAAAATATGGAAAACTGTATTTGCGTGAACGACTTCGAAATATTGGCAACAAAATTGCTTCCCAGAGGAATTCTGGACTTTTGCAACTCCGGTGCAACAGACGAACAATCTTTAGTGGAAAACTGCACAGCTTTCAAATCCTGGCGATTCCAACCTAGAGTTCTAAGAAATGTTTCTAGTGTTGATATGACCAGTTCAGTGTTGGGGAGTAAAATCAGTTTCCCAGTATGCATTGCTCCATTTGGTTTGCACAAAATGGCGTCTGAAAAGGGCGAAATTGACTCTGCAAGAGCGACTGAAAAAAGTTGGGAGTGGTTTTGCAATGAGCACCTGGTCGTCTTGTAGCATGGAAGAAGTTTCTGCTGCTTCTCCCAACAGTTTACGATGGTTCCAATTATACATAATGAATGATCGGAAGGTATCTCAAAATTTGGTTCAAAGGGCGGAGAAAAATGGCTACAAAGCTATTATTGTTACTGTTGATGGTGTGGCGCATGGTAGACGCTATAGAAACTTGAGAAATAAGTTTACATGGCCATCCAATTTGCCTCCAAAGAATTTTGATGCAGGTTTTATGAAAGGAACATCCGAAATTGGTAAAGACATTGATTCAAGTATGGACCAATCAGTGACTTGGAAAGATATTGATTGGCTAAGAAGTATCACTGATCTGCCAATCATAATCAAAGGAATATTGACGGTGGAAATGGCTTTGGAAGCGGTCGAACATGGCGTTGCGGCTATAGTTGTTTCGAATCATGGAGGGCGCAGACTGGATAGTACATTACCTGCAATACACGCACTACCACAAATTGCTAAAGCTGTAAACGGGAGATGCGAAATATATTTCGATAGTGGGATCAGAAATGGGGGTGATGTGGCAAAAGCTATTGCCCTTGGTGCAAAAGCTGTATTCGTTGGGAGGCCTATTATTTGGGGCCTTGCTTGTGGTGGGGAAAAGGGGGCAGAAAAAGTTTTGGAAATTTTGAGAGATGAATTCGAAGTGTCGATGAAGTTGTTGGGAGTTACTTCTATTGCAGAATTGCAATCGGTTCCTGATCTTGTGATTCACGAGTCGAAAATTTCATCTCGATTGTAATATTTTAGCCGTCACAAAATGACGCCTACATGCTATTAATTTGGGTCCTCAAATTGTATTTGAAATAATATAAGGCTGGCATTTATTCATAGTTTGAAGCAATATTTACCAAAGTATTTTTATAAAAGGTTAATTAATCAAATTACAGGTCCATAAGTCCATGAGGTCCCTTTACAATTTCAATTTTGTTATAAAGTTAGTTCTCTATATATCTTGACCAGGTTTGTTGTTAATCAGTAATCGTTAAAGTATTTTTATTTCATTTAATACAACTGTGAGGGCCAAAACAATATATGATATCGATAAATTTCCTTTGCAACTTGAAAACCTTTCGGACTTTATGGACACCCTATATATTTTCTCAAGACCGCTTTTTCAAGTTCACCCTTCACTGTCATACTCTTTGCTTTTTTTTTAAATTCATAAATTTATTAGAAATTAAACGTTATTAGCAAACCTGCTTACATTGTCCGTACTAATTAAAAAAAAACTTCTATCTTTTATGCACTGAGTGCCGTACTATTATTGCATGCCATGTTTATACTGTGATTGCATAATTTTTATTGGAGTCGACACAAGTGTAACGAGTAATATGCGAATGATGATACATGAATCATGCACTTCATCATATTTATTCATTGCATTCAGTCTTTCTGTTTTAATTATATTGAGTTTCTGCAAACTATGCAGATTCAATTGACCATGGGCATTTCTTGCTAAGAGCCTTGTTTCAAGACATAAAAAATTTGGTTAGTATCACTATTACAGTTATTTATTTGAATTAACATTATTTCAACCAACACCTGTTTCGAGACTCATCGAGAGTAACGTGTGTTGCTTTTACATAAATTTGTGCAATATCATGATCTTGGAGTATCTAGTGTTTATTCCATGTCACACAAAGTACTTTCATGCCTCATTTTAAGTTTTGGCAGCTTTCTATACTGTGTGTTTGCCTTGTGTACTTTCCATCATGTATTGTATACCATAGTTGAGTTCAAAATAAAGTAATGAAACTGCTGTTAATTTAAGATTTTTGTTCTAAACCAGCTCATTTTTCTGTTCAAATGTCTGATTGTATTCTTGCTATATTTTAAACTGGTCTTGAAAAGACTCTCCAATCCAATCTCTTACATAACTATGCATAACCTTGTTTTGCGAAACTATTGTTTGGTGGTTAAGTAAAGCGTTTGCCATGACTTTTTGTGATTCAGAGTAAACAGGCCACGGTGATAATCATTTAAATAAAAAGGAACTATCTGAAGGTTTTGTCGTCAAAATTCTTATTATAAGTTATATAACTTAAATTTTATCCCTATTTTTCATATAACACAATTTAAGTCCAACATGCATTTTCGTGCTACCAGCCGATATCTTTTAATTTGCTTGCAAAGCTGTTTATCGTGCAATTAATTATATAATACATATATATTGATCATGAGAGCAGTTAGTGATTTTGTTTTTAAGAGATGACTTCAGATGAGGCCCTGGACCACTTGCAGAAACTTTTTTATTAACGCAAATTATCGTGGCCACGCCAGAATTAGGAATCGATATTCATATAATTGGTATTTTTGGGAGTTTTCGCCAAGTGGCTGGGTCATCTCGAGTGATCCACTGCTGATTTTGACTTACAGTCACAAATTGAGCAGTCATTTATACTAATTCGGAAATTGGCTACAGTCCTGTCACAAACAGCCATGCAAGATGTGAAATAACCATGAATTTCTAAAAATCTTTTTTCTAATATAATTCAAAATCCCATATCTAACTAGGAATCAAAGGAAAGGCTATCAGGTTGTTTAAATCTTCGATGAAGATGATTCAAGGTGACTTTTTCAAACCTTCAGGCACAAATTATTACAAATGTTTTAGTTTCCATGAAAGCAATGCTCAAAATCAGACACGAAAATGTACAGAAAAACCCGAGCTGCCCACTGAGTTTGCTGAAAACATTGCCAGACAAGCATTCCAAATTAAAAAAAAGTTTCTAGTTTATTCAAAATAAAATAGCAAAGTTTGGGCCACACAGAACTGGGAGAAAAAAAAAAAAATAACAGCCTTCCAGCGAATTCTCTCATCTTTTATTGAAATCAATTAGTTGCTGGGAAAAGCGTTTGTTTGCTTTTTACCATTTGTGACAACCACTTCCACTAGCAGAAGGTTTAAGTATTCAAATGATATGAGATTTATACAATCAAGGCACCACATTTTTGAGACATTCCTTGAGTTACCTGACTAGATCGGGTAAAAGTATATTCTATCGCTCCCTGTGCATGCCTGCACTGCCAGAATATGAGGCAAGTCATAGCAAACCACAACCTACTGTTTGATTGCTAGTCTCGGTAAGATTGCAAACTGCACCCTTTCGTCTGGTTGCCGGACACAGTAAGGAAATAGTTAACCATTATACTTCTCCAGATGTACTCTTAAGACGATTAGAAAATTTAAGAGAATAACGATATTCGACTCATAGGAGTGTGAAGCTAATAAAATGGCCAGGTTGGCGTGAGGACTGAAACATTCAAAATCTCATTCATTGACTATTAGTGCGGAATACTGGTTGGAAAATTAGTTATGATTTCATCAGCCGTATTTGAGCTGGTTTCCCATTAATTTTGATTTTAACTCCTTCCCACAGGTGGAAGTCATACTTGAGATAAGCTACCAGCATGTCTGTCATGATGAAGACCTGAAAAATAGAAGTTGTTATGATAGTAAAGGATTTTTAAACATTGAACGGGACTGTAGATTAAGGAAATACATTAGCCCAGACTCTGAGAATGACCTAGTACAGTATTTCTCAACTGGTGAGGAATCCCTCTCTAGGGCGAAATTTTCTTGTCTTGGGGAAGGAAATATAATTTTGTTTTTGGTGCTGTTCTACTATTTGAACTGTATAAAAGCCAGAGTTGCACGACAGAGTTTTTTGTGCATCATGTTAGTTTAGTTCAATTGTCACATACAGAATTCAAACCTACGACTAGCACAGTGTCTTACATGAGCAGTTTTGTAGGAAAGAAAATCTGTGAAAAACTGATAAGATGGCTGGATACTAAGGAAAACATCTGCCTTCCATCTGTTACCCTCTTTTGTTGGGTACTAGATGCAGCTGTGTCAAACATGCTTTTCTTTTTGTGAAGCAATTTGCAAGAACACGGAATGCACCCCAACTCAGAAATGGAGGAGATTCATCTGAGCTACGGTAAATTACGGGCTACTGCGGAAGAGATACTGACACCATTGGGAATTACAGAGGATAGGTCAGTTCAATGCTCCACTCGGACTCTTGGATGATCAAAATTACGACATATGGAATGAGTAAAAAATCCTGTACTATTCTGCAGTACTTACATGAGCAGTTGTGTAGGCCAGTGTTGTAGCAAAATAAAAGTTCGCATTCGCAGTTCCAGCGTGGATCCATAGATGCCACATAATTGGACATAGTAATGTGCTCACTAGAAGAATGACTGAAGTTACGAGAGGAAATCGAAGATCTGTAAAAAGATAGTTGAGACTTCTATATTTAAGAAAACATTAGAATATTTTTACACAATATTTTTTTCGTTTCTGTTAGGAAAGCCTGGCTGCCAAATGCTAAAATCTATAATTACTATAATCTATTATAATTCATGTTGGTTGGTTATGGCTTCTGGAGACATCCAAAAATTTAGGATGTATATAGGGTCCTGTCCATTGATATCTGAATCCAAGGCTGACACATGATTGCCAAGATCAGAAACAACTGGATAAATCATATCTACAAAGAACGATGTAAAATACAACCAAGTCCAATTACAAACAAAACTTACAGTTGAAGGTATAAGACCAAACAGGCATCAGACACAAACAGAATCCGGCATCGGCTACAGAAGGATATGATTTAAATGTTGAGATGATGTAGCATAACATGAACATTAGGAAGATTGGACGAGACCTGGAACAGAATATGGGATTAAATTGGACAAAAGTGCAATAAATTAGTTTTTATGAATGTGGGTGCGATGGAATAGGTGTAGGTTTTTGTTAGTCGGGTCATCAACCCACCTTGAGGGATACAGAGCAGTTTACTGAGGGCCACAGGCAGTAAATTTCCAAAAGGAGTGTTTTGATATTTCAAATTGGCAAGTCAGATCGTAACAGCTAGCTGGTCCGTGTGTTTTCAAGATTCTTGGGGTCTAAAAAGCATTCCAAGCTATGAAAAATAGCTATGTATGACACACAATTATTACTTATCGATTTTAATCGGTAAGTATGTTGATAGGTATTTGTCTGTCTGTATGTCTGTTTGTCTGTTAGATGCACGCGATATCTCACGAAAGCGTGATTGAATCTGCTCCAGATTTTGCATGTGCATTAATCATATCTTGAACCAGAAGCCTATTGATTTTGGGCGAAATATGTCGAATAATTAGCGAGGTATCAATTAATTGGAGATGGGACACAAGGTGTTACTATGGAGTAAGAGCGCTGTTTTGGGGGATCCCCTAACTTTCGAACGATAAGTCTTCGGTCTCTGACCGATATTCTCGTTTTTTCTTTTTCACATTCCAAAAAAGGGGGTCCACACCCCCTGTCCTGATGGAAATGCATTAAAGGCAAAACCAGGTATTTTATGGAACAGCATGGGAGTTGAGAGTTTTGAAAAGAGAGCTAAGGATCGTGAGAAAAAGATGTATTAACTTAAGTAGACAATGCCTCTTAATTTAATACATCTGATTAACTCCCTCTGATTAACAAATACAGAAAACATACAAGGTGTCAACAAAGTCCCTTTAGAACAGGGGTCGGTTTTGTTACCTTTTGTCTAATTATAATTAAATTATAGGCTCATTGAACTAGTAATTGTAAATTGTATACTTATTGGGTTATAATATTATTTAGTCTACACATGTCTCACAATAGATTATGTTACATAAAGAATATATTCGTCGAAACAGCTGTTTTGTTACTATAATTCAGTAAAGCGTCACGGGCCGGATTATATTACTCCGTGGGTCAGATCCGGCCTGCAGGCCGTAGGTTGCCGACCCTTGCTTTACAATTTCAATTTTGTTATGAAGTCAGTTCTCAATATATCTCAACTAGGTTTGTTGTTTTCAATCAGTAAATGTTCAAGTATTTTTAGTTCATTTAATACATCTGTGAGGGAAAACAATACAGGGAGTCCTCGACTTACGACGTTGTTCCGTTCTCGAGACGCGGTGTAACCCGAATTTTAGTGTTAAGTGGAACATTATACTGTACAGTACATAAATTACTATATACATATCGTACTGTATTGTAAAGTATGGTACTGTAATAAAATGTACAAATAATGCAAAAAAGTACTTTATTAAAAAAAAACAGAAAACAATTCCATATCACATGAATAAAAGCAAATACTGTACAGTACAGTATTATCTTTTATATTCTTTATGGAGGGCGTTTGTAACGTCGAAACAGCGTTATGGAGTGCGTTCGTAACCTCGAAACAGCGTAAGTCGCGACCGTCGTAACCCGAGGACTCCCTGTATATGGTATCGATAAACTCCCCTCTCAATTTTGAAAATTTTAGGACTTTATGGACACCCTATATATTCATATTGACCGTGATGCATTGTTAGAGTAACTTATACATAACAGGGTCACCCGAATTTCGGCCAACCCCGAATACAGGAATAAAGGAAAACTCGTCATATCTCAATATAACTCACCTTAGCTTGATTGTCAAAGGCAAACTGAATATCAAGACATTGAGTTGAAAAACGCTGAGAAAGAAAGTGTGGAAATGATCGAAGACTTCGGTGAAAAAATACCAGAACACTCCGACGTTCGGTGTCAAATCTGGTACAGTGAGTCTGAAATTGTCAAATAAAATGATAAAAATATGGTTCACAAACTTTGTTATGAACAGGGCTATAGATGAAAAACGAATATATATGCAAAGGTTTCATTTGTGATGAAGCCCTCATTACTTATCGATCTTAAGATCGGTAAGTATGTTGATAGGTATTTGTCTGTTTGTTTGTTTGTTTGTCTGTTAGATACACGCGATATCTCACGAAAGCGAGGTTGAATCTGCTCCAAATTTTGCATGTGCATTCATCATAGTTCGGAACAGGAGCCTATCGATTTTGGATGGATTATGTCGTATAATTAGCGAGTTATTAATTAATTAGTGATGGGACACACGGTGTCACTGTAGAGTAAGACCACTGTTTTGGGGGATCCTGATTTGGGGGCTCCTGATTTGAAATTCTATCCCACAGCTCTATAAAAAGTAAAAAAAACTTACATGAATTTCACAGTAGCAAAAGCAGAATCGCATGATTCGATACAAGATGCTCCAAACAATATCAAACTCCATACAGTGAAGAGTAGAGTAATTTTCATAGACGTTGCATAGAGAGGCGAGGTTGATTTCTAAATACAAAGTCATACATTGATTAAAAATTTGTTTGCTCTGGTGAAGTAAATCAGTGTTTCCCAACCAGAGAGAAATTCTTCTCAAACTTTAGTGTTTTAGAGGACAAATTTTACTTTTGTGAATATCGCTCGTTCTATTAGCGATTGAACAGAAAAATAGTCTTATGTATAATGACATAATGAAATGTTTCACAAAAACTAAGAAAAACATAAACAAATTGAAAAAAACATATAAAATTTTTTGATGAAAGGATAAAATCTCACCCGCTCACTCAGCTTATATGCGAGGGTATACATACGGTAATACAGGGTGTAATAAATTGAGTAGGCAATGTGGGATTTTCTGGCCTTTTCAATATAGTTGCTCCGTACATGTGAGAATATTCTTGTATAAAGCCTTGTTCTGAGTGAAAACATGGAAAAGCACCATAGTCTTACCAAATGAAAATGCATGATGAGAGGCGCCAGCAGCTGAACGGGATAAAAAGTTTGATAAGTTGTCAAAGCTAAGAACAGTGTTGATTGTACTGCATTGCCTGAAACAGAACGGAATAAATTACCTATCCCATAGTTTAAAATTCTAGAAAATTCTGTGAAAACATTTACATAATTGAAGCCTCAACAACTAAAACAGTGGATCTGAAACCTTTCGCAGCTGCATCGCATCCCCTTTTTTAGAATTTGTCACGTCTTGCACCCACATAAAAATAACTGGCTAACAATGAGCTACAAATAACGGATGGAGCGTAAAAATGAAAACTTTAAGGATAATAAAGATACAAGCAGCTCTCTGCAATCTCTAAACGACAGAGCAATATAAATACGTTATGCCCAATGCCAGCACAATAAGGGACATGTTCAACTCCTAGAAGTCCTATAAGGCAACATACTACAAGAATTTAAAAAAAGTTTATAAATATAAGAATATATGTATTTTGGTCATCGTAGAACGCCAGGCATGAAGAAATGAGAAATAATATTTGGTTGATCAGGCAAGACTCGATTAGAGAGTGACTGGAGCGGGAGCCGTAACCAACCAGTGGTCACATAAACCACCCTACGTCATTGAGGAGTCCAGCAATTCTCTCACACATATTTAACCCTGCGTGGGATTCGGACACATCCACAAAATCAGCTTAGCGCTGCCAAACTGCCAAGGTAAATCATCAAACTCAGGGCATACCACAAAGATGCTAATTTTTCAGAAGAATAGAAGCTCCTCGCATAGTATTGAATGCTTGTATAGATAGTCCCTTGTTCGAAGCGCCACATAAAAAATACTGTTACAGTGAACTGATTTCAGAGTGAAGTCGTTGAAACTTTGTGAAGAAAATAAAAAATACTCACCTCTCATAGTGTGATAGAAAAGTTGACAGACGAATAAATTATTGAAAACTGTTGTTGATTTTGCGATGCAGGAAGCAATGAGGAATGGATTGAACATGTATCTAAAAGTGAAAAAATATAGTCGAAATAATTTACAAAACACACATTTTTATGTTCACTCTTGCTATAGCATCCTTGCAATATATGCATACGGATCCACCAGCACAAAAGCATAGAAGAGGGATAAGTAGTTAGTCTCGCAGAAACCAAATCATTAACACATTTTCACAACACGTTTTCTGACCTTCACCTTAAATTATAAAAAGAAACAAATGATGCAGGTCCACTGTAACAAATTTAATGTTTTCTTACCAATATCACTCAGAATTAACCAAAAAAAAATGAGAAATATAGCAAGAATCACAGGTATTTTAGTAGTTAAAACATGGTAATTATAATGGCTCAATAAAACTTCTCAAGAAAGGGGGAGGGGGGGTACCTTTGTTCCTGATCCTTCATAGAGCCCCTCAACAATGCCTGTAAATGTTTGCTTTTTCGTATAGTACTTGGGATGTAAATTGGTTGATGGGTTTGTTTCCGGTTGAAAAAGGCAGAAATTTAATAAGTTGATTTCTTCGAGTTGAAATAAGTTAGCTTTGAAATCCAGAACAATACATAATTTGTCAGATCATTCATTAGATGTTCTTGCAAAAGTGTTTCCAGTAAAAATAATTCAGAATTAGATTTAAACTGGATGTCTAAAGTATTCAATTAATCACCTACAACAGCAGTGTGAAACATTTAATACGGGAAGGCCAGATACAAATAACGGGGTGAAAGCTCGGGTCGCACCTTTATTTAACATGGGCTTTCTAGTAGTACAAACATTTTGGCTATTGATCTTATGACATGCGTTGTTCGCTTTACACAAGCCAGCTGTGAAGACATCTTAACGTCATAGTTTTTAAGTTGCAAATAAATTAATCGAAGTATCAGATTATTAAACTAAATTGAAAAATTTGTTTCGCGGGGCGCACACCATTGAAATCTGGCACTTCTCCGCGGGCCGCACAACTTTTCTATGTTGCCCGCATTTGGCCCGCAGGCTACAGGTTGCACACCCCTCGTCTAAAGTATTCAACTTACAACATGCAGATTAAATCAGGAATCCACTCTGCTCTGCTTTCTTTGATCAATATTTTGTCGGAATCTTTTGCAAATTTTGATTTATTTTTCTGCTGTTCTGATATCTGGAAAATGCAGAAATTAACACTTTAGAATCAATTTTCGAATATTTATTCAAAAACGTGAATGTGGGATATCTTAAATAAGTGTCATTCACCATTATAATTGATAATGACTTGAAGTTTGGTTATAACTTCACCAAGAACTAGCACAAAGCCACTGCGATTACATGAGTTGCAGTGGCCTAAGGAGATGCTGACTATAAAATTTGACAACTCCGAAACAACCAGGACACTGGCCCTTTTCAGCCCCCTTCCGATGATTACCCTCACTCATGTAATTTCTATATTTAACAAATTTTTAATCATCAGTGCTTCGATCCTCAATATTATGAAGAATCTTAAAATAATATTCTCCCTAAAATTATTCTATAAAAGCAGGAATAATAATGTTTTCCTCGTGGCTAACATAAGACAAACCACTCACCTCATACTCCGAGTAGAGTTTGGTGAAAGAAAATAGACTCAAAGCAGCCACAACGTCAGCAAGCTAAAAATAAAAAAATATGTTATCAATATGTGCTGTACATACATAAGTCGTCATGTTTTGAGATGTGTTAAGCGAATTAACATAATATGCCATTCTTTCAATGAATATTTAGAGACAGAATGATAGCAAGTAACCACTGATGCAATAAGAACTATATGCAAGTATATGGGATCTCTACATGTGGCAGTAAAAAATGAAGGACTTGAGAAGTTTCTTGTCATAAAAACAGACAGGAGGAGATTCCACAAAGCAGATTAATTTTATAAATGGAAGCAGGAGTCACTGGCACTGCAGTAAATAAATGAGAACCACCTGCTGATAGGAAAAAATATCATAACTTAGATACTTTGTTAGGATAGGATTTACATATTTACCATGGGGAGAGAGGAAGGCAAATAAGCCGGCTTAATCATATGGCGAACCACGGCCTTTCGTCCGGTTACCAGTCCATGTTGGGTATGGGGTTAGTTAGCCAGTTATTAGTTTTCAGATGCATGAACTTGGTGGAAGAAGCCGTAACCGACCAGCGGTTAAGTGAACCACCCTACAGCGGCGAGGCACATAATTATTATTAATGAGACATGACCGACATTAGACTGGTCAAAGGGAAAAGCGTTAATGCAAAACGGATCAATTTTCAAATTAGAAATGACTTGTTTCGAAAAATTCGGAACAACAAAATAATCCTGAAATGGCACAATCTTAGCAATAGAAAGAATACAAAGTCACACAATCCATAACTTACCACAAATATGATTGGAAACAACAGTGGAGAAAATTTCTTCAAATTTAGAAACAAGTGGAGCATCAATGGTGTCTGAAAATAAAATGAATTTATTCATTAGTGTTATTGTAACGGAACACGATAAACTTGTCTGCCATCCGGTTTATTCCCTTATTGCCAGACATGGTCACCCAGAGTGGCCCATTTGGAATAAACATTCGTGGCACCCAACTCAACTTCACTTTACCAGATAAAGCAGTAACAAAGACACAATGCCATGGTAATTACTAGGCCTTGAAGCTTTAGTTAATGCATTTTAAATAAGGCCCTCCCCCCATCAGATGGCATGCCAGACATAATATTAAACCTATTCGTGAAACTACCAATTACTTGGTATGATATAAATCGGTGGTTCTCGAACTCTTTAATCCTCAAGTCCCGCGCCCCACCTCAAAAATAACAAACTAACAATAGGCTACAAATAACAGATAGTATGGCGAAAGTATTTTTTATTCAAAAAACACATCGAAAATACAAGGATGGATCGTAAAAATCCATATAGGACGAGCAAGATCAAATCTGACGAATATTTTCATTTTTAATTAGCTCCACGCCCCCCGCCCCCCCAAAAAAAATTTTCTACGCCCCCCTTTACGCGCACGCGCTTTGATTTACGGTATCAATAATATTGCACAATTAATACTGCTACTCACATCGTGGAAAGAGTCCCCGTCATACAAAGATATGTTGTATTGATGAAGTGCCATTCCTTCTTTCACTGAAACAAAAGTCAATAATTAGGATACGAATCAGATATTCAACCCACGAGAAAGAGAAAACTGATAAACCAGCTTCATCATATGGAGAACTAATGCCTTTCATGTCTGTAAATTACCATTTTGTTTAAATCAAATTCTTCAGTCATTCCTAGTCAAAGCACAAAAATAATTTAAAATAAAAATAGAAAACAAAACTGAACATGGAGAAAAATCAGTTTCATTCAAATATTTGAATTATACATCAGCACTGCCATGAAAGGAACCAGCTTTTGAAAATTTCTAAATCAGGACAAAACAGTGAATGTTGAAATTTAAAAAATAGATTATTCCTAAATATTGCGAAGGATAAGTGTTCTGTGAGCTGGTATATTGATAGTATACCTAAACATAGTTTGATACATATTTGCCAGACTTCAGGTTCAAAATTCGGTACTCCTGTAGTATGTGTACCAGGTTAGGGTTTGGGCATAACTTTATTATGATTTTCCTTCTAGTATGAGTTCGGGAACTGTCTGTGTCAGCCAAGTGAATATACCCCCTGCCCATGGGTTTCAGTCCCGTTACACAACTTAATGTAAAGTAGGCGAACAAAATTAGTTACCTCCATATTGAAACGCACATTTCTGGAGTGCCAAAAATTGCCTATTAAACCCTCGATGAGGTGATTTTCAAACAATATTGATTTCTGAACAACTTTAACAATAATCCACTCACATCTAGTCCATGATGATTGGGGAGTTGAAACTTCGGGCCTGTCAATCAACCATTTTTCTATGCTCGGAGATGCAAAGAGACACGCCCTAACTGCCACGCCCATAAGAATGCTGCTTTCTTTCGATAACCTAAAGAATAAAACAATATTGATTTTAAAAAATTTGCTGCATATCTTCATCCTTGTATAACAGTTGGTGAAAACATAAACGAGTCATCGCAGAATACTAGGTACTCCATGATGGTGAGTTCAGCAATTCCCTGACAAACCCATCCACAAATTCGAAACTGCAATGACAGGGCCATGACATCGGGGGAAATTTACACCAGATTACAAGCTCGCAGATTCGACTCCTTGTTGACAAAAAGACATAAATTTAGCTCCAACTTTCAGGTTAAAGAAACCTAGACCACACACCTCTCCTGGAAAACTAATTCTTAACCACAAAAACTTGAGGTGTGCGCAGTGTTCCCTCTAAAGTGTGCGCGCGCACACAGCTTTCAGAGGCTGCGCAAACGCATAGATTTACTGCGCACAAACGTATTTCGACGTAATGTAACAATGTTCTCGGTTGGCAGGTTGAGAAAGTTTGTTGTTGGCCCACTTATTACCCGGTTAGAACGCCAAAATTTCTTCATTGGTTTTTGCACAAATATTAGTCATTTCCAAAAAAGTGAGAACACATCAAAATTTCTGCGCACACATACTACAAAAAATTAGAGGGAACATTGGGTGTGCGGAACCCCTTTTTTGGTCTTTGAAGAATGATTAGTCTACCTAATGCTTTTTCGGTTCATCGGAAATCTCACCATGCATTTCAAAATTTCTATTTGGGCTCTGACTCGCAACTGCGGAAGTTCGAAAATATAAGTCGAAAAGTCGACTCAAATGAAACATGCAATAACGTACACCCAGCAATGCTGCAGAGGAGGGTAGCCAGGAATGGGAGTTTGTGGAAATCCTAATTGCCAAGATAGACTGTATACGATAATAGCTGGGTGGACATTTCAAAAGGGATTTTTCCTCCCTGGATAGACCCCTGCCCTGAAGGTCTTTGAGGATCTAAAAAGTGTTTCAAGCTCTGAAACATTGGCATGTATGAGACAGAAAAATGCTTTTTTTTTACCTTTTAAAAATGGCGTTCAGACCCCCATTTCCCAGAATGGAAATGCCCCTGCTGATGCAAACCCCATACAGAAGGGAGTCAGAATCATGATTTGAACAGTGTTGCTGACACTCAACACTGCTAGAACTCGTAAATATAAATATTACTTACATTTTGATCGGTTGACAGCTTTGGGAAACAAAATTTGTGGTATATAAAGTTTATCTAAGGTATTTTCAAGTTGGCCTAACTGGAATTAGCTAAAAAAAATACAAATTTTCATTAATTTTTGATTAGTTTGCATAAGCATTATGAATTGCATTTTAAATTATTATTAACAGTTGGATTTTCACATGTAAGATAAAAAAAAAATTACTTTAAAGATGTAAAAGTGAGTGAAGATTAAATATAAAGGTCTTCCTGCTCAGAACATATTCAAAAAAATGTCTCAAATAATTATAGATTGAGGATGAATTTTGCAATAATGTACATGCTTTGATTTTCTACAGTTATCCAAAGAACCGATATGCGATATTTTCTATATTATTCCGTACAAAGTGCATTCTCAGTATGGTGGAAAAGGTAACTACTGATTACAGATTAGTATGACTATCAGCTGTCCAAATGACAATTTGAATGAAAATATTTCTAAATTATTCCAGATTAAATGGGATAATGTAATAAACATTTCACGTTCTGCCAAGCTTCCCAATCATCTCTAAGTGCTTTGCCAGCCTAAGGGATTCAATATATTCACTATGAAGTCACTGAGATACAGAGAATATCATTTAAACCCTGCATTCAACATCAGGTTATGAGTGTTGTGTAGGCCAGTGTTTTTCAACCTTTTTCGAGCCAAGGCACACCTTTTTCAATGAGAAAATCCCGCGGCACACCCCCAGCTTAAAATGTGGGGAAAAGACCTAATATTCACAATTTAAGTGTTATATTGTTAATATAAGCTTTTTTAACTTTGAAGAAAGATGTTGAATTGGACATCTTGAATAGTAATCAAATAAAACAAGGAAGAAAAGGCAAATCGCCACACCGCATAGACACACAAATTGGAGAATTTCCCACGGCACCCCTGACATTATTTTACGGCACACCGGTGTGTCGCGGCACCCCGGTTGAAAAACACTGGTGTAGGCTACATATTTGGACCAGTCAAACTTCAATGATTTGGCCCATCTAGTTAGAAAACAAAATTATTCCGACCAGTCACACTTCAATGATTTAGCATGCATAGTCAGAAACCAAAATATACTCACCAGTCACACTTCAATGATTTTCAATAAAAATATGTTAAAATGTAATTTTAAAGATTTGAAAATATTTTCGACTCGTGGATTACTAAATTGGGAACAGTTTGAAGTTCATGTATAGAGGTGACTCCAAGTAGCTTCATCGTCAATTCAAATTCATCTCTCAATATTTCTAGAACTTTTTTGACTCCATGCACCCCACCACAAGCAAGCCCCCAAATCACAGAACGTCCTATAAACACTGCTTTCGCTCCGAGTGCAATAGCTTTCGCTACGTCTCCTCCATTCCTAATCCCACAGTCAAAATATACTTCACATTTATTGTTTACAATTTTCACAATATTAGGAAGGACATTTATTGAAGCAGAGACTCCATCTAATTGCCTGCCTCCATGATTTGACACAATGATTCCATCCACGCCATGTTCTACTGCCTCTAGTGCCATTTCTGTGCTTATTATTCCTTTGAGTATGATTGGTAGATTTGAAATTGATTTTAACCAATCATAATCCTTCCAGCTGAGAGTAGAATCATATATATTATTAGCAAATTCTGCCATTCCAGATTCTTTATTGCCACTAACTTTGTAATTTTCTCCAAATGCTTCAATTTCAAAATTTTTTAGGGATAAATTTGGTGGCAGAGAAAATTTATTTCTAACATCAGCATATCTAAGGCCGAGTACAGGCAAATCGACAGTCAAAACAAGAGCTGAAAAACCATTCTTTTCTGCTCTTTCAACCAATCGTTTCGTCACGGCTCTATCTTTGAAAACGTAAAGTTGAAACCATTTCAAACCGTTTGGAACTTCAGAGATTATCTCTTCAATACTGGTAGTAGACATAGAGCTTAACGTAAATAATGTTTCGAGTTTTTCCGCAGCCTCTGCAGAGTCAATTTCTCCTCTTGTTGAAGCCATTTTTTGAAGTGAAGTCGGTGCAATACAAATAGGAAAATTTATGGTCTTTCCTAACACCGAAGTAGACAAGTCTACGTTTGAAACATCTCTCAAAACTCGGGGTTGAAATCGCCAAGATTTGAATGCATCACAATTTTCATGTAACGTTTGTTCATTTGTCCCCCCAGAATTATAGAACCCAACTGCATTTTGTGTAAGATGCTTTTTTGCTTGAACCTGGAAATCTTTAATGCTAATTGAAGAATCCATAATACTGTTGAAGAGGAATTTACAAATCAATTTGATAAAATGATTCGAGCATGACGAAAACTTGCTGACGTTGCTGTATCAAAAAACTCAAGCATGCAGAAGACGGAATCAAAATATCAAACAAGATACTGTCCACTGGCATTGGATTCACAATTACACAAATCATATAAAATTGCAATACTGGTGAATTGGTGAATATATGGTTCTAAATGCCATTTAAATATCCCCTTTTCTATTGGGCTGGAGATTGTGGGCCTCGGTTATATTGGACCGTCGTATACACAGAAATTTGAGAGTAGGAATGGATATATCCAGTGGTGGGATTCAGCCGGTTCGCATCGGTTCTATAGAACCGTCTCGCGAAATTTTATGAGATCAGCGAACCGGTTAGCATTACTAAAAAAACATATAACAGAACCGGCCGAAAAATATGACTTCTGTGATGGAACCGGCTGACAAAAAATTTGAATCCCATCACTGGATATATGGTCCCAATTGGCCCGTTTCATGGTGGTATATTGGACAATATGAACAGGTTAGAAATGGGGGAAGGACATATGATTCCACTCACCATCTAAAAAGCCACTTCCATAGAGAGAGACTAGTAGTAGACTATAATAGACAGCAAGTTGGAAATAGAAATGAATACACGATTCCATTCCAATCGATACCCAAATGGCTAACCTCTGTTGATGACTATTTGGCTAGATATAGACAGCAGGTTTGGAATAGGATCTCTATTTGAAAGGCCCGTTTTGTGAAGGAATGTTGTGCTGCTATGTAGATGGCAAGTGCAGTAGATTTACATGGTGCCAATCACCATTTGAATGGTCTTGTCCATATTTATTTATTAAAAAAGCAGAACCAGTCATGTACTTGGAATGATGATTATACTTGCACTGATATGTCAAGATATTAAATAGCTTAATATAGGACTCAGTGATTCCCAAACTTTATGTGCCTACAGAGTACAGACCCCTTATGCCTTTCTTAATTGAATGCGGACTCCAACAATTTTCAAGAGGATAAATTATCTGCTATTCCTTGCATATGCAACATAAATCGCTTACTGATTTATTGCAACTAAAAGATGCCAATTATTCTTAGTGTGAAGGGCTTCCAGCTAAGCACATATTTGTTTTATTCTTGGCTGGATATGCAAAATCGCAATATCATGTGATCTTGCATATCAAGCTTGTTTCTTGCTTTTGTCTTGATTTGAACTAGCGACCCCCGTAAGAGGTCCGCAGACTCCAGTTTGAAAACCACTGGTCTAGGTCAAAACGTCATTCAAAGGTTCCATGGCAAAAGGGCAAATGTTGAAATTTGAAATAAAATAAATGTTCAAATGTGTACATCCATTTGTTATAATCCAAGCATAGCCTCCCTGTTGATAATACAAATCTTCCGGCTTGACAGATAACTATTACTTTACTGCTAAATATATACAATGAAAATAAATTAATACGGGAACAAACATAATGAAAATATGGCTAGTAGTACCATAGGCAGCAGATATTATATGAAACATGGAAGGAATGATGCCTTATGTATTCAATACTTATAAAAATAATTCGCATGAGAGACCTATTTCTATCTCTTGTATATATAAATGTATTAAAAAACTGTGTTTTCACATCATCATCAATTAAGAAGAAAAGAAAACACTTTTACATAAAGCGTTATTGAAGCGGTCAAAATTTTTCCAATTCAGGATCGCCCGACCATTTTAATAACCCCTGGATTAGGTGGAAGGCTGGATGGGGTTTGCATTTTAAATCTTTAACATGCCAATTCAATATAGTTTGACTCTAGCTAATCCAAATTGTGTTATTATATGAATCATCATTTGTTTGAGCGAAATGCCCTGCCATGATATATATGGTTCCAGTAGCTCATGGCATTCCTCATAATTTTTCTCTGGGTAAGAGGAAAGCCAGTGACGTGAACTTTGAATGACATCGTCAGGTGGGGGTTAGGAATAACATATGCAAAATTGTTGAGCCAGGCCAATTAGAAGTGTGGTACTAAACTACACCAGACCTCAAATTTGAATCTTTATATTTTTCCAGAATTCAGAAAAATTGAACTTAACATGAGGCAACACAACACAACAAATTTTTCTACAGTTGGTTGTAAAATAGGTTTTTGAGCTTTTTTTTTATTCACGATTGGGAGATTTCTTTCACATTCTGTGTCGTCAGTCCACCATCTTGAACATCCAAAATATCTAACTTTTGTTGTTTTGCCATTGTTTCCATAGGAATAAACTCTTTGTCTGAACTGTCATTCTTCTTCTGCAGGGCTCTCATGGAAATCCACCCCAACCAGAGTGTTCGAACAAATGAAGACAAACGTTTTCTCCAATCAACAGACAATTCTTGCTCAGATCCATCCATACTCCGCTCAAGCCCCACAAGGACTTCTTCTTTTTGAAGATACTCATCAGCCAATTGCCTTATTCATTGTATTATATCTGCTTCGCTGATATTAGAATGATTCTGTTCCCACGCTCACAATATTTGAAATCCGAATTCCTCGACCGAATCCTTGTGATCCTCAGCAATAGATGCAACTTTATTTTGATTCAGTGACAATCCATTTCCTGAACTTGCAAATTTTTAAAATTCTTTCGGGGGAATCTTTTCAATAACTTCATGAAAAACATCTTCAACTCACTCAACATGAGGAGGAACCAGATCTGATTGAGACTGATAATATTTAGTAACAAGATCTTTTAGACTTTGTGGAATTGCATTATTCCCGTTCCTTTCCTTCCAAAGCGCAAGTAATTTGAGTTTCTGCTGTTCGACAGAGGCCACAGCCAGACCATCGCGAGATCGTGCAAACTTTTTAAATTCTTGAGGTGTTGAAAACTTTTTCACAATTTTTGTGAATACGTCTTCACATCTGTCCCCCATATTTTCTGCCAGACATATAACAACACTAAAATATTTTAATTGCTGAAATATATAACAAAAACAAATTAATGTGCAACAAACATAATCAAACCATGGGTATTACAATGAATGAAAAATACAAAGAATAATTAATTTTTGAACTATATGAATATCAATTGTATACAAATAGCAAAATCATGGCATAGAAAATATTTGGTAAATTAAGTAAGCAAATAAAATGGTTAGAAAACAACAGCTATATTCTATAAAATATGGAAGGAATGTCTTATAACAGTGGTTCCCAAGGTTGATTGATTGGGGCCAAAATTAAAAGCATACGGTTACTTGCGGGCCAGAAGAGGGGAGTGCCCACAAAGGACAGATACCGTATAATAAGGATACCAATATAATTGAACAAACACATACTTAAACTGTAATAATGAATTCACACTTGGTGGCATCTGGAACACAATAAGGAAAAATTGAATGCTAGACTATTCAATTTAAGTTCGTTGGGTCATCTTAAAACGTCAGGCAAGCCACGATTTGGGTACCACTGTCTTTTATTCAATAATTATAAAACAATGGCAATGACAGACATATTTTCTTTCTCTATTCTATTCTGTTCCTATAAACTTCCTATAATTTCATATAGTTTTGACACAAACCTAACAAAAACACAGTTATTATATAATATGAATCATCATTTGTTAGAGCGTAATGCCCAGCCATGATATATAACAAGGGTTCCCAAGCTTTTTTCATGACGACACCAAAGACAACTTTCAAGTGTCCAGTGCGACCCCATGTCAATATATATATTTTTCATGAAACTTTAGAGCTTCTTTCACTGGACTTTTGAGTATGGTCATGTGGCAGTATTAAGTAAAATAAGCTAAAACCAAACAGTGATGTCACAATGAGCATGTATATTTTCTATAGCATAAGCATAAAGCGGTGCTTATGGGCCTGTTTTACAGTGGGCCATGGAACAAACAAACTGCTAAATTGAACATGGTTTGTCAAATCTTAGATGATTTGTACATCCATCCTCTACCATGCCTCAGCGACCCCATGACCTGTTTGCGACCCTACCGACTTATCACTCCGACCCAATTTGGGGTCACGACCCCTGGTTTTGGAACCCCTGATATACAATATAGTTTCAGCAGCTCATGGCATTCAACTGATTTCCCAAAACTTTTTTTCTTTTCTCCATAGCAACTCCTTGAGTAAGTGCATGTGATTTCAACAAATTGATTTGAGGGAAAATGAAAGAAAACATTTAAATTGGAATTAAATTCGTCATTATTCATAATAAGTTTATATTAAAAAAACAATTAAAAACACAATAATTGCATATTTGCTTTTTGTATAAAGCAAAAATAGGTATTATTAAAAGCTCGGCTAACCTATTCAAATTTTTTGATAAGAGACACCAGAAACCTAAAATATAAAACTAAAAAGAAAACATAGGCTACATAGCAATCACTAATGCAGTTGTTTTCAAAAAGGGCACCTCAGGGCACAGTCCAGGGGTTCCGCAGGTTTCCATTTAAATCTGTGAGTCTGTACTATTATATGTATATTGTTAAAATATATTCAAATACACTGGTATGATCAAATCAGCTTGTTTTATTAGTATCTCGTGAATAAGTGAGACCTTCAGGTGTTCTATGTCAAATTGTTGTTCTATGTTTTAATTGGAATATTTTATGATAAGAAATGTAATTTATAATAAAATACACACTTTGCAAATTGCATAAACACTCCCCGAGTCTCTAGAACTTTTGGATAGGGTTGACAACCGCTGCACGAAGCCAAAAAAATTGAGGAAAAGAGTTTCCAAGG